TCACCCCCACCTCGTCCCTGCCCTCGACATCTTCCTCGACCCCCACTCTCACAAGCTTCACATCTGCATGGAATACATGGATGGCAACTTATATCAGTTGATGAAGGCTCGTGACCATAAATACTTTGAAGGCAAGCACGTCAAGAGCATCCTTTACCAGATCTTGTCCGGTCTGGACCACATCCACGCACACCACTTCTTCCACCGCGATATCAAGCCCGAGAACATTCTCGTCTCAACCTCCGCCCCCAATGATTCCGCTTTCAGCCGCTACTCTAACCTCGTAACCCCTCCCTCCACCCCTCCCGTCTACACGGTGAAGATCGCCGACTTTGGTCTTGCTCGTGAGACTCACTCCAAACAACCATACACCACATACGTCTCCACACGCTGGTACCGCGCACCTGAGGTGCTTCTACGAGCAGGAGAGTATTCGGCACCAGTCGATATGTGGGCAATGGGCGCCATGGCAGTCGAGATTGCTACGTTAAAGCCTCTATTCCCGGGAGGTAACGAGGTCGATCAAGTTTGGCGTGTGTGTGAGATCATGGGTAGCCCGGGAAACTGGTACAGCAAGTCGGGCGCTAAGATTGGCGGTGGTGAGTGGCGTGAAGGATCACGCCTGGCTCACAAGCTCGGTTTCACATTCCCCAAGATGGCACCACACGCGATGGAATCCGTGCTTCAGCCCCCAATGTGGCCTGCGGCATTTAGCGAGTTCGTCACGTGGTGTCTCATGTGGGATCCTAAGAACCGCCCAACGTCTACCCAAGCGCTTAACCACGAGTACTTCGCCGATGCGGTTGATCCGGTGCGGCCGAAGTCCTCCACCTCATCGAGACTACTGGGCCGCAAGCAGTCCGAGAAGAGCTTCAGGTCACCAAATCTTACCCCAGGTGACTCTCCTACATTGTCTTCTAAGCCTTCGTGGTTCCGGAGATCATTGGTCGTTCGGTCAGACAGCCCTGTACCTTCTGCAGAAGAAAGCCCTGCCCGGCCATCGGCTGTTACTCAGGTCACCGTACCTGAGATCCAGCCTGTCAAGGCGCGCCCGCCGAACATCAAGCGAGCTACCTGGGCAAACGGTGCACCGATGCCAATCCTTCCTTCTATCCGCCCTGTCTCCCCTCTCTCCAACTCCGTTACAGCCCAGGCGAACGCCACTTTGGCGCACAGCCAGTCTTCCAAGTCCTCCAGTACATCAGCTAGCTCAAAGATCGGCCGTCAATTGTCCCTCAACTCCCATGGGAATCACTACGACCAGAATCGTCTAGAGGCCGAAAGGAGGCTCAATGGTTCCGGGACTAGCACACCAACCACAAAGGAGAGTTTCTTCTCGCATCTGCGCAAACGCGCCCGCAGATTGTCTGGACGAAACCAATCAGCGCCTAATGATGACGTCGAGGCTAACGCAGGTTGCATCCCTTGGTCGAACCGTTCATCAGTGGCTCTGGATGGGCCCACTAGTGATCCAAAGCAAGGCTCCGACTTGAACGAGCTGGACAAGGCTCTTCAGTGTGTCAAGTACTCATTGGACTCGTCCACACTGAGCAACGTCCCAGTGCACTTGAACAATTCTGCCGACGGCCAAACCAAGCGCCAGTCAATGCCTCACGTCACCAGCAACAACCCTGCTCCTATCTCTAGCAGGACTCGCCGTGCCATGCAGATGTCCACTCACCCGGTTCATCGGTACGAGACTCCTGAAGAGGAAGATGAGCTGCTTGATGAGGTGTTGCACTCCGCCAGCAAGGCGGCTAGACGCCTGGCCCAGACTCAGTCAATGGCTGCCGACTCGCACAGTGCTGCTCGCCGGCAACCAGACAACTCGCGTGCACAGCAGAACCCTTATCCTACACCGTCACCCACGGCCAAGGAAACTGCTGCATTTGGTCAACAGTCGACACCTAGCAAGTTGAACATCCACAAGATTGATCCCATGGCCGCAAGCCGCCACTGGCCCACTCCCCCTTACGAGGAGGCCGAGTATCACAACAATAAATCCGACTACTTCGCTCCTGGATCCAACTATATTTGAACAACAGCACAGCCTTTTCAGTTGCGAAGAGCACAAAAATTTGGCAAAATTACAAAACAGAACAAACACTGAGCAAGCTACATAGCTCAAGGCGCATTTTGGGTTTTATATTTCCTTTGCAAGGTCTGGCCATTTCGGAGGGTGTTTTATCTTTTTTTTTTTTTTCACATATGGGCATTGGGCAAGTTTCTCATTTCTCTACATTCATACCCCTGCAGCCCTTTTATAGATGGATTTGGGCCGTTTGATTTTTTCCTTTTCATGGAGTCCTTTCGTTTCATCATTTAGCAGGGGCGTGGGTTCTTTCCTTGACGTTTGATACCACATGCGCAAGTCGCATCATATACCGCATTTCCTCCTACCTTATTAGGTATTCCTCACCCTCTCTCTTCATCCGATATGTATATCGGATCTGCACATTTGCAAATCATTCTCGATGAATATTGCGCTCTCTCTCCTTTGTCCATATAATTTCCCCCTCTTCTCCCCGCTTGTACATTTTCTGGCTACAGCCATCCCCATCTTTACTTCTTGTCCATCATTTTCTATCACTTATTTATCCCCTCCATTTACATATTCCTGTCATAGCTCTCCCTCCTGCTTCAATTCTTGTATCATTTTATTTTCCCACGGCGTGCTGGCTTGGGTCCAGTCCGTTCTATATTTGTAATATACCTCCCCCTTTGGCCGTTGTGCCATGCCCATACATATCTTACTACATACGCATTGAATCTACATACTCGAGACTTTATTTTGAGACATTATACCTGCTGTTTTCTGTAACGCTTATTAGAATTCCTATCAATCAGTTGGCATGGGGAGTGGCGATGAAAATGATGAACAGCGTGGGAAGGTGGGATTTTTGGGCTAAAATACTGGGCTCAATTCATGCACATTAGATTACACAGTAGAAGATGGTCATTCTGTCACGAAATTCGGAGTAGTCAATGTAGAAAAATCACAGCATCTAGTTACATGGATCAATATCAACGGAACAACGATCATCCGTTGCCCATCAAGATTTCCTGATTGAGACTGCTTGCTCGACTCTACCTAGTTTTTTTTTTCTTCCTCAATTGCTCCCCCGTTCAACCTCGCCAGCTGAAACTATACTGGCCATAGCTTGGAATCCGGGTTACCAACACCTTAGCACATACAGCACGCCCGGCAAGCACTTTTCATAAATCGCAGGCCGATCACCACAAAATCAACCGCCCGCCAACAGCTACGAGCTTAACCTCGCGCAACCGAACTCCAGCTCTATCCTCCAAGATACAGCAGTCTATTTCGCTTCGCCTGCAACACCAACACTACACCCGCCAAAATGTCAAATCAAAGACAAGCCTCCTCCGCCTCTCAGGTGCCCCACCTCTCACCCGCCGAACTCTCCTACCTTTACACCTCCCTCAGCCTCCCCAAGAACCCAATCCGACCAGACGGTCGCTCACCCACACAATTCCGTCCTCTGTCTGCCGAGACGACCATCCTGCCTGGCGCGAACGGTAGCGCGCGCATCGGATTCGCAGACGGCACGCAAGCGATCGTCGGCGTGAAAGCAGAAGTCGAGAAGACCGTTATTGCAGCCGACACGCTCGACTCGCGCAGTCTGGCGCAGCATGGCGACGCACTGAACCGCGAGGGCGAGGAGGGCTCCGCCGCTGTCTCGGGACAGGGAGAGTGGGTGCAGATGTCGATTGAGATCCCCGGGTTTAGAGACGATGATGCCCTGCCTGTGTTTTTGAGTGAGATGATGCGAGAGAGTCTAGTTGGTTCTGTTTCTGGTGGGAGCGGGGATTCGAAGGAGATGGCCGGTGGGTTAAAAGGGAGGCTTGTTATTAACAAGCGGTGGCATTGGCGCTTGTATATTGATGTAAGTTTTGACAATCGCTTTCTGTCTCTCGGTTTATGGTTATTCTGGGGTTCTAAAAGTATGACTTGATCACTGCTGACATGTCATACCCTAGGTTCTGCTACTCTCTCAACCTCTCGCATACCCTCTCCCCCTCCTATCGCTCACAACCCACCTCGCCCTCCTCAGCACTAAGCTACCGAAACTCAAGTCCACGGGTGAAGAAGATCCTTTCTTCGACGACGACTGGGCCGCCGCGGAGTATCTCTACCCGCGCTCCAATACTTCAAAATCTCCTCTCTCCGCCGCACCATCATACCCTGTCCGCCCACCTGTAACGCTGCTAGTTATTTCTGTCGGTGAAAACGTCATCTTCGATCCTAACCGCGAAGAAATCGCCGTCGCAGACGCCGTCCTGGCTATCTCTGTTACGCGCAGCAGTGACTCCGAGACTCTGAAACTGCTATCGATCCGCTCGATCGATCCCCCCTCCCGCCTCACTCAGCCGGGTATTCCCAATTCCGAGAATGTGAATATGCTTGGTGCTACTGCGGGGCCTGGCGAGGAGTCTGGCGGTCAGGAGGAGGTTGAGGGTGTCTGGCGTCCGCGAAGGGGTGGTGTCAAGCGCAATGTTATTGCACGTATGATTAAGAATGTCCTCGGTAAGGGTGGTGTTGGGGAGGAGGTTCTTGAGGGACTTGAGGGGGTTGTGGTGCAATGATTGTCTTATTTTGAACCATTTCATGTATGAGTACTAAAGTACAGCATTACTTTAAGGTTGCGACTTTTGATACCTGATTTGATAGGTCGCTACTTCTGGAGTTTGGAGAAAAGCGTTGTTTTTTGGTTAAATCGTTTCTCTTTATCGTTAGATCGATTGAAGTTGAGATGGCCTTCCTATCGTAGACTGAAAGTCCACTAATGTACAAAATGGATTGAACGTCCATCTACACCAACGTCGCTGCTGGAAGGGTGTCTGAAGCTCCCTCATGTATGACTGCATCGATACATACCCACAGCCAAACCCTACACAGCATATGCCATACCTAGATAGCTATACTACCCGTAGATATGACTGAAATAGCCCACCCCAAGGCGTGGAGGAAATAAGAATCACCAAATCCCCAACCACTTCTTAACGGGCCTCTTATTCCCCTCCCAATCAACAAACTCCTTCGCAGCCTCCGCACCTTCACCAGCAGCACCAGCAGCAACAGGCGACTGCGAATCCACCTCAACACCCTCATCCTTCTTCTCAGGCTCCGCCTTCTCAAGCCCATGCGCAACACGATACTCCTTCCTCTTCTCCGCATCCTCAACGCGACGGTGTCGCTGCTCCCGCACGCGCATCGAGTTGTGCTGCACATGCATGCGCCACACAGCAAAAGCCTGCGAGATCGTGCTGAAAGGCGACGTCAGCAGACTCGACCAGGATGGTAGCAGGTGCGCGAACGGCGAGGTTGCTTTGAAATTAGTTGTGAAGGTGAACCCGGCGCAGGAGATCAGGACGCTCTGTGTAGTTGATTAGTTGATTGATCTACCGAGTTCTCCTGGAAGCTTTGCTTTTGGTAGACCCGGAGCTTGGTGTCGGAAACTCACCATTGCAATCCAAATGTGGATCCACTTGCTCGTCAGGAACTTAAACATCACTGTTCCCTCCGGCGGAAACATGCCCGGGTACTGCGTCTTGCTCTGCTGTATGCGCTCTTTCTCCGTTATCCGCGGGCCATACTCGAATGGTTGGCCTGGGGGTGCGTTCTTCGGAGATGGAGTCGTCAGGCGCTGGGGGTGCGAGGGCGGGCGGAATCTGTCGGGCTTTGCGAGAACGCGGGGCTTAGAAGTGCCGCTAGCTTTGGAATTGGAATTGGCATTGGTGTTGCTCTTGCTGACTTTCTTTAACGCGGCGCCGGTCGAGGTGAAGCTGCGTCGGGTGTTTTGGCGTTGGAGGATGCGCAGGGTCATTGCTGAGGGTGGGCCTCGAGGGAGGAGAAAGCCGGGGATTGGGGTTGGCATTTTTGGTATTTTTTTTCTTGCCCTTTTGCTCCTGTGGAGGGGGTTGGATGATCTTGTTGACTTATCTAGATGCGGAACCGTAGATGCAATTTTTGGAGAAGGTTTTATATCACGTGACTGTATCGGGATATCGGATGCCGATTGAGTCGAGATGTTCTGACCTCTGACCGCATATTCTGACTATTTCGGGGAATGGAAATTTCGGGGAATGCAAATTTTGATGAGACCACTTGACCTTCGAAATATTCGCGTGGCTTAGTATCCATTACTTCCCGTGTTTCCCACAATTGCATGGGTTTGGGAAAGTTGTACGACAGAGTCGTGACTGAGACTACTACAGATTACATAAACCAACCTAATGAACCTTGCAAGGTTATTGAAGCTTACCGCGGCCTCGGCAACAGGTTAAATTGCATTCACGGCCGAGAATGCATCGAGAATGAACCGTTTCTGCCTCAGGATCCACACGCCGGACCACCGGCCAGCTCTCGGGCGAATGAGAATCATGCCATTTCGAAGCTGCGGTGGATCGGGCAAGTTGCTCCAGTTCTCCAGCAGAAGGAGTGAAGGGTGAATATGCGTAGATGTGGGCCACTATTGCCATGGGCGTCTGGGTGCTCTGTAGAGTGAAAAATTGGTGAAAGAGCTGCTGTTTCCGAGCCAACTGAAGCTTTGCATATACACAAGCGTATCGGAGCTAACTGATGATGAAGTATGAGATCATAGGGGCGGGACATAGAAGATAGAGGATACAAGTCGGTTTGTTGCCACAGACAAACCGCCAGCTGTCCCAAGCATTGAACCTCCAAGTCTCAGTGAGAAAGCACAAACAAGGGAGTGAAAGATGTCAGAGCCACAACAGCCACACCGAAGTTTCCGGTTGCGCCCGTCCGCCTGAATCATCTCCCCTCTGATTGGCGGAATGGCGGATTACGAGAGGAAGCGTCGGGGCCCAAGTACAAATAACCAGATTTTCTTCTCTCCCCTTCTTAGTTTTTTCTGTACAGTACAGTGTCATAATAACTTCTCTTTTTATTCTTTCATAATACTTCACAATGGCTCCTAAGAAGCAAGAATCTTTCGCCCCTGGTAAGCTATCTACTTTGCCCCATTGAGCTGAAAGGAGGTCGGGGAGGCGCCATGGAGGTTCAGGGAAGGAAGTGAAGGGTATCTCAATTGGCAACGCGCTTTGTTAACCTGAGATGGTGCTTGAACAACACTTCCTCACCTTTCCTCACATTGCAACTCCCTCGTCAACCTAATTACCTCAATTGCGATCGCTACCACCTTTCGCAAATACCACGCTTGGAAATATTCAACATGACTACCTTCGATGTGTTCTGCACCTTGACGATCATCGACATGCGCGAGGCAGAGCGTGCCAAGGCCACTCTCGTCGAAGAAGCCAAGAAGGAAGCCGACAAAATCGCTAATCTCAACTTCGCTCCAGGTGACGCCGCCAAGGGTGCCAAGCTCTTCCAGGTATGTTCATTATTGCTTCACGCGCAGACAAGTGAAGAGGAAACCTAACGGATATTTTTTTTTCAGACCCGTTGCGCCCAGTGCCACACCACCGAGGCCGGCGGTGCCCACAAGGTCGGCCCCAACCTCCACGGTCTTTTCGGCCGTCACAGTGGTCAAGCCGAGGGTTACGCCTACACCGACGCCAACAAGCAGGCCGGTGTTGAGTGGAACGAGAACTCTCTGGTAAGTGCCAACTGCCACGTTCAATTCCGCTCCGATCGGCGACTAACAATACCTATTAGTTCTCCTACCTCGAGAACCCCAAGAAGTTCATCCCCGGTACCAAGATGGCCTTCGGTGGTCTCAAGAAGACCAAGGAGCGCAACGATCTCATCACGTACGTCACCCGCGAATATCCACACTCCCCTGAACCCCACTGACAACCCCATAGCTGGCTCAAGGATAACACCGCATAAACGACCTGATGTTCTTTTTTATTCCCCGGCTTTTTTTCTGTTTCTCCCCATAGAAGTCTGGGATTATGGCGCCATGGGCTGATTCCCGGGCCTCCCAAGGGACCGGGCTTGTATTTTTATTACAATTTCCATGAGTCAAAATAGATTTGATCTTCTCTTCTCCTCTGCTCCTCTGCTTCTCTGCTCCACTTCGTTTTGATATTCTGTTAATAGAACAAACGTACTCCATACTGCAAACGGGGTTATGCAAGTCTATCCCTAGTGTTTGAGATTCTTCGGATGATCATGGAGGCCTGACTTCTGATTGGCTGGGGGCCCTGGTCGTATCGATTGGGCAAACATGGGCGGTCAGGCACGGATATACTTGAAGAGTACTTGACGAGTACCTTGGTGCTCACTGTTTAGACAACATAAACTCGAAGTACTGGACTCGTACCACCCCTGTGCCTCTCCCGGTATCTGATGTGTATAAACCGTCGAGTCTCAGCACATGACCAGCAGGGGGTAGGCTGATTGGCCCAGCCTCTTCGACCTGGATACAAGTGAGGGGACGCATGCTTTCTCGTCTTCTCATTCCTGATTCCTGCATTGCTCAAGGAGGCGTTTCGATCCCAGTTCCATATTAATCTCCAGCGCGTTACCTGATCGCATCTTAGTCCAACACCAACTATCGAATGTGCCTATCGCGGAGATATCCGGTGTCGCTATCTAGAATTCATTACCTGCCTTGTCGCATCGCATCGCATCATACCTTATCGCGTCTTTGCAGTGGGGTTCATCGCTCAGATATCTTCTGTAACGGCTAGCGCAGGAGACACTGTCCCAGCGCATATACTAACCACTCAGGTTTACCTAAGGAAGTCCAAGTGCTTCAACCGCAACTGATCGCCACTCATAGGCATTGATCTGCGCTTCGTCGCTGAGAACTGCAGTGCCTTTTCTTCTGAGGCGCGACTATCGCGATACGCCGTCCGGGATGCTAGACGAGTTAGACAACGTCTTCGACGACCATCCATCCCTGGACGCGTCGCTCGAAGACTTTGAAAACAATACCAATCCCCAAAGGTCCCCAATGTTCGCCCTGCCATCCCAACACTCCGGATTCCGGTCTGAAGACTCAGACGGAGACGATGGAGAGATCGAGGACCCCACGCAGGAACGATGGTCACCCCCTGGCTTCCATCCACCCGAATATGTCCAAGGCAGTGGATGGTATCGCCACCAGCCCTATCTGCGCAAAGATAACCTCATTGCGGAGTGCTTGCAGCTCAAGCCCACAGTCGGACTTAGTGTTTCCCCTTCCCAGTCGCGCGAGCCAAGTCCACAGTATGAGGATGCGCTCGAGGGCCCCGCGAAGAGTAGACCGGGCGATCGCGCCACCCCAGGCGACGTCTCTGTCGCGGCTAATGTGCCTCTACCGGCGGGCGCAGATAGCCCCCTCCAAGGAAGATCCCCAAGTCCGCCTCCGGCCCCGAATACAGGGCGCGCATCCCGGCGCAGTCCCGAGGACGATGGGGTGGGCTTTGGCGCGGAGAATCTGAGCAACTGTAGGCCCTGTCTGATCTGGTTTCAGTTGCAGGCGCGGGTATACTAACGATTGTTGTGAATGAATAAAGACATTCGCTTTGCAGTGCGTGCAGAAGTCCAGCACCGAGAACCCATTGCCGCGATGTATGGCTACCTACGCTCAAAGTTCGAGCGCATGACCAGCTCCAAGTCTAACACCACCTTATCTATCTTAATCCTTCTCATCTCAGTCGCGTTCATGCGCGCCCTGGTCCTGCCAGGCCTCCCGCAATCGATCCCCGATTTAGTAAAGCTATCCGGCTTCGCACGCTCCTTCGAACCACTGATATACTACTCAGAGAACGGCGTTCAGCAAATCGGCACACTACAAGAAACCGGTGTCGCAGTCTGGGACTTGAGCGAGTCTGTCCGTGGCACAAACATGACCAGCGCACCTATAATCGTGCGCCAACTGGACGAGCTCTCCGACTCCCTCAAGTCCCTCTCTCTCGAGCTAACCCGCTTCTTCGCAAACGTTGACTCGGACATCGACTCCATCCTCATAGTAATGGACTGGGCCAAGCGCGAGCTCGAAACCCTCTCCGCCCAGCCTCCAAGCACCCTCCCCACAATCGTCTTCGACAACATGCACAACATGCTTTCGCGCCTCGGCGCACTAGAACGGTCAGCTCAAATCTCCGATAACGGCGTCCCCGCAACCTCAACAACAACGACGCCCCTCGGCCACCTCGTAATGGCCGTCTTTGGGCCAACCTCCGCGCAGCGGACACGCACAACCCTAACCCGCACCTTCACGGAGTTCCTCGCTGTGCTAGAAGAATCAATAAACAGCGAGCTCACCCACTCAACCGCGCTCTTCGCGCTTTTCGAGTCCATCGACCGCCAGTTCCTCAACCTGCAGCGCACAGTCGTCCGTGAATCCGACGCCCAGGAACGCGCGGAGGGCGAGATGCTTTCTTCCCTGTGGACTCGCGTGCTAGGGCCCGATGCCGCGGCGGTCCGCAAATACGAGAAGAACAAGAAATTGCTCGCGAATGTCCGCAGCCGCACTGTCGCCAATAAACACCTCCTCGTTGACCACCGCGGCCGACTGCTCACGCTGAAGGTCAATCTAGAGACGCTGCGCAGGAAGCTGGTTAGCCCGCTCGTCCGTCGGAATGACTCTGTTAGCTTTGTTGGGTCCGTTGATGGGGGGAACGGGAATGGGCATTCTGGTTCTCCGGGCCGCATGCTTGGGCCTGTTGAGGCTGTTATTGATGGGCAGATCCGTGGGTTGGAGGGGACATATGACTACCTACGGACTGTCCGGGAAAGGCAGAAGGCGAAGCTTATGGAGCTGGTCTATGGGGCTGGGAGGAAGCCAAGTCGGGCTATGATTGATGGATTAGAGGGGAGGGATGATGATGAGTGAAGGGTTGAGGGTCCTGATCTTGTTTATTGTCTTTTCTTTCTTTTGGCCTCATGTATCCTTTTGGCATAGCA